GTAAAAACGGAGACTCCTGGCCCCACAGGTAACAGTCAGCACATTCCACAGCCCTGAGAATAGCACCTACCAATAAGAAACTTCCAGGGCTGCATCTTATGCATCCAATTGGTTTAAAATTATGTTGGCACATGCGGGCTCCTTGAACCAACCAAAATGTATCTTCAGTATCTCTCCCCTCCCCCTTTTGTTTAAACCTATAAAAGGCTCCACTCTCCCTTACTCTGGGCTCTCAGCATGGATCTGTTGAGTTGGTGAGGTCTGAGAGCCCGAGCTTAAGCCCGAATAAACCATAAACCTTTGCTTTTGCATTTTGGTGTGTTGGGTTCTCGGTGGTCTCTTTGGGGTCCAGTGGATGGGGTACAACAGTTTGAATATGAAAAATAGCCTTTGTACATGTGACTGATGACAGAGGATATTTTCCTAGATATTATGTGCATGTACACAAAATGTCTTTGAGTGTTTATGGATATAGTATTTGCATCACAGCACCCCTTTTTCTGAGGACAACATTGATGGGTGCTATAGACAATTTTGTGCATTCCTCATGAAGGCATGAATTGATACACCATCTATTAGAAAGCTCATTCATTTCTTAAAAATAAAGAAGTAACATATATATTTAAATAAAATTTTGTTAAATAAACTGGTGTTATTTCAAGTTGAGGGAAATAATTCATGGTGATACAAATTTAAATATTTTTGTAAAATACACATGACCCTGGCATAAGCTGTGGAATGAAGTCTTTTATTTGCTCTGATACAAGAACAATTTCACACCAAAACACATGCTCTTTCCCTCCCCTGCACACAGTCTTAATACTGTTCTCTCCAGACAGGTTAAAAATAGTGCATAGTTATCACATGAAATACAAAAATTAAAGTTTTAGCAGTTGTGATGCTAGAAGTGAATGGATAATAGTCATTTACATCTGTTTTTCTAATGCTCCATCAGAACCATTTCTTTTTTTTTTTTGGTTTTTTGAGACAGGGTCTCCCTGTAGCCCCAAGCTGTCCTGGAACTCACTATGTAGACCAGGCTGGCTTTGAACTCACAAAGATCCACCTGCTTCTGCCTCCCGAGTGCTGGGATTAAAGGCATGTGCCACCACACCTGGCAACCATTTCTTATCTAATCATAAAACCATGCAGTGAGATAGGCTTGCTAAAGCAGGACTGCTCCAACTTCTGAGTGCCTCCCCCAGGTTAGAATGTAAATATCATTAAGCAGAATGCTTTGTGGAAAGGAGGCAGATAGAGGTGAACGTGTAGAATAAATGCTCTCCAGATAAACTCAATATTCCTGCATACATAATTTCCAGATAAGAGGAAACAGCACATTAGGATTTAGACAAAGCCCCAATAATTGAAATGTATTTGCAGCATGAAAATATTGATAGATGATAGGTAAAAATGTTGGGAGAGAGTGCGCAGTGGAGAGCACGAGTGGATGGATGAGGCACCGAGGCACAGATAGAATTCTCAGCGGGATACAGATTTATTTCACATGGGGCACCTTTCCCTCGGGGAAGGGAAAGATGTCAGCCCACGGGTTGTGAGCTGGGACTTGTTGTAGGGGTGGTTTGGGGTGTGGAAGGGGGGAATGTTGGGGGGAGAAATCAGGGAGGGGGAAGCAGGAAAAGCAGGTAGGATTAGGGTCTGGAAGTGTTTACTTTTTCCCTCTTCAGATAAGAGAAAAACAGCTTCTAAAATCTCTGGTTATCAGGTAGAATCTGCTTATCTTATCTTTGGAGGTCAGAGGAAAGGCAGGCTGCTTCTCAGCAGGGTTTATTTCTTTTGACTTCAAAGGTCAAGGTGAGGTCCCTGTTGGGGAGGGGGGAAACTGCTGCTGTTTGGAACCCTAACAATAGAAATATTTCAAGTGCTGATCTTCATATAGAAACTGAAGTGATTTAACATTAACTGGTGTGCCCACAAAGTGATTCTCCTCATCATAGTGTTTGATATGCCAGTATCTGAAGTGAAAATGCTGTGCAGAGGCATGGGGCTCTCAAGGCACAGGCAGATTCCTGATACTCTAATAGTGTAAGGAATTACTTCCCCCTTAAATATTTCTCCCTGACCCACACTACTGTGTATCTTCACATATTGGTGAGCATGCTATCTACTGACTATATGATATAGTAAACATTACCGGAAGACAGTGTAACATGATGTTTCCAAACATCAAATAATATGAAGTTAAAGAAAGGGTACTGGAGGACTTTTTGCACAAAATGTATAACTACATTGACAAATAGGACCTGATAGAACCCCTAAAATGTGATTAAAACGCCGAGGAGAAAAGCACAAAAATGCCCATTGATATGAGAATGGATACAAAAAGAATTATGTGATGTCCTTAGGAAAAATCTGTGAAACTTTGGACGGTTTCACCAAATTCTTTAATCATTATTATTACTACTTACTTGCTTTAAGATTAAAAATTGAAAGCTGCATCCAGTTATCAGATTTTAACCTGGAAAATAACATCTAAGAAAATGTTTGAAACTTTATCCACTTTAATTTTATTTTGAAACTTTTGCATTTTATTTATTCTCTCTCTCTCTCTCTCTCTCTCTCTCTCTCTCTCTCTGCAGTGTGAATGGAGGTCAGAGGAGAATGTGCAAGGGTCAGTTCTTGCTTTCCATTATGTGGGTCCCAGGGATCGAACTTGAGTCGTCAGGTGTGGTGGCAAGTACCTTTAGCTGCTGGTCTCTTGATTCACTTTTTAAATCCTAGTATGCATTTGAAATCATCACTATTTGGGTTAAATATGAAATAAAATATTTCCATTTATTTCAAAATAATAATTTCCATATATTTTAGCTTTGTTTAAAAAAAAAAACAAAGCCCTAACTAAATCTTATTTTTCCCACTCACCACAAAATATTGGTAGTTATTTTACTTCACAAGATTTTTTTCTTGTAAAGATTAATCCTCAGAAGAAGCCTGCTTGTAATTCCATTTTGCCCAATCCCTGTTCCTCCCATTTCCACCAGAAGCTCAGATTTGTTTATATTTTAAAAGATGGAGAGTAGAACATCATAACAGTGTCAATCTAGGAATTATCCTGAAAATAAGGATTCACTGAGTTTGGAATACCAGAAGGAAGAGTTGCTAACTGCTGAGCCTGGATTCTGCAACTTAAGTTCTCAGGCGGTTTCCTGACTCTGTCAGGAAATAAAGATAGGATGAGACTCAGACACCCAGAGAGGACCTAGTAATAAAAGCCATCTACTGGGCTTATAAAATCAAAGTCCTGTACTGTATTGTCCTTGCATTGCATCAGGAGAGTTATTTCAAACTTCAGGAGAGTTTTTTTCCTGGACTCTAAATAAGGAGAGTTTTCTAATGGATTAGGGGACAACAAGCAAGAGAAACCCAGCCAAGCCGGTACACTTTAAGTCTACAGACTTGGGAAGCCGTCACATGAGGTGACACACCACTGAGTCCCGGCACATACTTGCGGTTTTAGATGTAGGAAGTGACAGGGGTGTGAAGAGAATCAGATGGTGAGCCAGGATCCAACAGCTGAGATCAGAGGTTAGGCAGAACTCATCTGTAGCATGACAGCTGCACTAGCCACTGCATCAGGAAGGCCCTACTTATTGCAGGCAACCAAGAATTGGTGGAGCCCACATTGGGTAAATACTAAATTGCTGTGTTTAATTTCAAATGACCAAGGAAATCCTGAAATGACTGAGAGAGAATATTTATAATGAGCTACTTTAGGAGTTCCTAGAGCTTACAGAGAGAGACTAGGTGATAATATTTCTCATTTATTAGCTGGGTATTGGAAATGTTTTTAATCTGTTTTATCATTACATTTTCTCAACAAGACTCAACATTTTGATTTTCTTCTATGAAGTCAGCCCCTGGATACCTGGCGGGCCGGAGGCACTGCTGTACCCTGACAACTGCTTCTACGAATTTGGCTGTGACCTCAAAGCATGAAAAGAGCAGGCAGAAGAAAGAATTTTTGTATTATCTCGTATGTGTTGTCCTTGATTTAGATGTTAGTAACAAAGCTGTGACAATGTTCTGTTATTTAATAAGATGGAAAGATGTATTTTGTCACCTAGACATTCCTGTACCTAGAAGAGGCCTTCTCAAAACAGATCTCAAAAATGTTGAGTGAATAATTAGAAACTGATTATTTTGTGATGGCACATGAAGATCATTAGATTCCACTCCCACGCTACAACTTTACTATTTTTTTCAAAACATAAGCCCTAACCACAATTCATCCTGCTTACATTCTTCTTGTGGTTATATAATATACACAGAATAGTGTGCCATTGTTAGACTCCCTTCCTCTCTTCCCAGGAAGGGGCACAGGAAAGGTTAGCTAGCCTTAGTGATGACAAAGTTTCCCAAATTCTGCATGAGGTCTGATTACCTAGAATTTTGATTTATTGAACTTATGTGTATACATGGGAGTAAAGAAAACATTTTTTTGGTCTTTTTTGGTGTTTAAGCTAATGTCTCTTTAAAAATAAGCATTATGATTTAATCATTTAGCTGCATAGCAACTCCAACATGGACATGTGATATCCATTTTTATTGAACACATTTATTTCCTTACTGTTGCTTCTTAAACACAGTAATGTTCTCCAAGTGCTATCAAAACGACTTCCTCAATGCTCACCTGCTCATAGTTTCAAATGATTTAAGTGTGTGATGTTTCGCCTGCCCCAATTCTTCTTAGCTGAGCTGGAATGATTTTGCTCTAAGTTACTGCAGTGGGTAGATTATAAACTTTTATGTGATGGTACCTCATCGTAAATGTTTATGTGATGGCACTTTATAGTTTTAACTGAAATTCTTGCTGTTGTCTTTTGGATGGTGATTATCCCTGATGAAGACAAAGACCATGAGAGCTTAGCAACAAACTACGTGGGTATGATTTCAAACTTTGGTTTCATTTTTGTTATTTTGTATTAAGATTTAGCCCAATTTATTCTTATAAATATATTTCCCACCTAGTACAATGCTGCTTAATTTGAAAGCATTATACTTTATGATTTTATATACAGTTACATACATCATTCCTGTGTAATTTCTTGTAGAGGTTTCTTCTGAATCTAAATCTTTAAGCTATAGTAGATGCTGTTTGTTTAAACTTTCTTGACATTATTCTTTTCATCAGGAGTTTTTGCAAGACATTTTTTACTTCTTTATTTCTCAAGCTATAAATGAAAGGATTTAGTAAGGGAACTACTATCGTAAATAAAATAGCAGCTGGTATATCTTTATCTCCTTCTTCTAGTAAATTTGGCCTAATGTACATGAAGAAAAGAGATCCATAGAATAATGAAACAGATAAAAAGTGAGATGCACAGGTGGAAAAGGCCTTGACTCTTCCCTCTTTGGATTTCATTTTGGAAATTGTAAAGACAATGTAAAGATAAGATATGAAGACACTACCTATTGTGAAGATTTGAATTGAGCCTGAAAAGACAAACAGTACAAGCTCATTGACGTATGGGTCAACACAGGAGAGTCTGTATAAGGGAAGAATATCACAGTAAAAGTGGTTGATGTGATTAGACCCACAGAAAGTTAACCTAAATAGTAGCCCTACATGAATCACAGAATGTAGGTTTCCAGCTATGAAGGCTCCTGTGGTCATCTGAAGGCAGAGCTTCTTGGACATCATGGTGTGGTACTGCAGTGGGCTGCATATGGCCACGTAGCGGTCATAGGCCATGGCTGCCAGAAGAAAGCAGTCTGCAGTTTCAACAGTGCAAAGAAAATAAAATTGTGCCATGCACTCATACAAAGAAATCATTTTGTCCTCAGAAAAGAAGTCTCCCAACATTTTAGGAGTAATAGCACAGGCACAGCATGAATCCACAAGAGCCAGGTAACCCAAAAAGATGTACATTGGGGTGTGAAGAGACTGCTCTTTTGAAATCAGTATCATCAAACCAATATTCCCTAACATGGTGATCAGATAGATGACAAAGAATACGGCAAACAGAAGGGTCTTCACTTCTGGGAGGTCTGTAAATCCCATGAGGATAAACTCATATATCATGGTGTGATTTTCTTCACCCATTCCTGACTTCTCTGAAAAAAAGTGTTGAGGAATGAAGCTCTAGTTTACGGTGTGCTCCATACAATATTAGGTTCTCTCCCTGCAGGAAAAGGAGATCTTCAATAATATATCTACATAGCACTTGGACTTTGGTTACATGCCCAATTCTGGAGCACAATCAGTCCTCCTGGGCTGTTGCTTTCTTTTCTTTTTCTTTCTGTGCATGCTGGACAAGTGCTCACCATGAAGCTACATTCCCTGCTTAAGTGATTACATTTTTGCCTATGTATGAAAACATTATCTCAACATAGTGACAAGAAAAACACCTCATATTGGATTCACAATGATGGCTTTTTTAGTTATTGAAATGAACATTCAGGACAAAAATACTTCTGTATATGTGTCAGAAAAGTCTTCTTTATAATTTATGCCAGGAACTAATACTAGCGTTCCCAAACAAGTTCAATGGCTGTATTAGTAGTAGCTGAGGATATTGTCTGGAAGACTACCACTGCTCACTAATGTTCACAGTAGCAGCATGCATGAAATTCAAAAGGTAGCAAGAACCAGATGTCCATGACAGATGAGTGGAAAGGATGTGCATATACATAAAAGGAATATTATTCATTCTTATAAAGTAATGAAATATTGACATATTACAACATGGGTAAACTTTTATAAGTGAAATGTGGCAGACACAGTCTATAATGTTACTTAAATGAGATACCTAGAGTAATCAAATTTGGAGGGATAGGATATAAACTGGTGTTTGACAAGTGAGGTGGGAATGGGGAGCTCTGGCTTAATGGGCATGCACTTTCTGTTTGAGAAGATGGAAAATTCTGGAGGTGAATAGTGGTAACAGTTGTATACAGCAAATAAAAAATGGTCTTTTCGACCCCAAGTTCTTAGTAATCTTTTATCTCTAGGATTATTTTTTCTATTTTTAATGCTTAAAAATAAAATGTTTTGGGGCTGGAGAGATGGCTCAGTGGTTAAGAACATTAGTTATTCTTGCAGAAGACACGGGTTCAAATGCCAGCACCCACATGGCAGCTAACAACTGTCCAGAATTCCAGCCCCAGGGGATTCAGCAGCCTCTTCTGACCTCCGTGGGCATTGCACGACACGGTGTACTTACCTACATGCAGGCAATACACGCATACACATAAAATGAAAATAATAAATAAAATTTAAAAAAAATTTCAGGGAACAGGGAGTTATTTACAAAGCATTTGCTCCTAGAGATTCGGGAGCTCTCTACAGGTTGCTTAGGGAGGACAGAGAGAAATGATTATATTTGGTGTTCTGTACAACACAGAATGGAGATTTAGCTCTATTTCTGGTTGTGATATAAATTGATGGAATCATTGGAACACTTAGTAGTAGAATGATGAAATTCTTAAAGTTTATACTCCTTGACTATTAATGATGAACCTATGTAAAAAAAAAAATGGAAGCTCAAGTGAAGGATTGCATGCAACAATGTGCACTGTAATTCTTAAATAACAGTCAAGAAATGCAAATCATCTAATGGTCTGTTTAAGATAACATCAGTCGCCCATATGATGGTATATTGTGTGATCATTACATAGAATATTTATTTCAATGATAAAATGGACAAAAATATTGTGAGATGAATAGAACAGAAAGTTTTACATATAATCATAATGTCCAAATAAATACCTATAACTGTAAAAGAAAGCATGGAATATTATAAAAATGATTATTTTTTCCTATGCAATGAAAATTATAGTTTACTAATTTATTTCAAATTCTCTGTCATGACCATAACTTTAATAACCAGGAAACAAAAGAAATTGTTAATAAATAAATGACATGTTCTTAGGTCTGCTCTTTTTTTTTTCTTGATAAATCAATAATAATCACTGAGGAACAACTAATGTTTTCTGCACTTTGAAGTTCTACAGTGGATGAGATCACAGTGGATTTAGTGAGGAAGTGCCTGCTGTGATGACGGCATCAGCCATTAGAAGTAATGATTGACAGCACTGCATGCTTCTTGAACTTTAAAGAACAGCCTCAGTACAGTAATACAGTCCTTGGGTCCCTGCCTCTGTGAAAGCTGGTACTCTCTGAGGTCGGCTTCCACGCTTCCCATTTCCATTGTGTTTCTCGATTGTGTGGCTCTTACATTTATAAGTTTCAGGATTATTTTATAACTTCCTTTTAATATTCAATTGGCTTGATATTTACTGATTGCCTGCTCCTTCCTACCAATTTTCTTTAGATAGGCAGTTCTTCCTAGTAGGTATTTCCAGAGCAACAACTTTCTGGATAGTCACTGACCACATCTTTACTCCAAAATCAGGAATAGAGGAAAAGTGTTTTGGAAGACATAGATCTCTTTGTTTTTAGTTTACTGAAAATATTTCTGATTTTTAAATCTTAGATTTCTTGAAGATGAGACTTTTGGGAACATTACTAAAAAAGAGCATGTTAAATCTATACAATTTGAATAATTTTTTTCTACTAAAGGTGTTTTGTGTGTGAACTTGAATTCATATAATATGATTTTCTTTAATTTTGAATTTATTATAATTGATAAAAATAAGTTTTACCTTATCACTTATTTTTCTAAGAATAAAAATATAAACTAGAATTCCCCCTAAAGTTTTATTGAATTAAAAATTCACGAGACATTAATCCTTTCTTATAACTTAATATGTTCTGAACAAAATGTTTAAGTTGAATTCCATTGCAGATACTAATAATGCATTTCAGTATATTTCAAGTTTTCTAGTATTATTATTACAGAAAGCATTCTCAGAAATTTTACAAATGGATTGTCTTACAAAAGTATCCTCTTGATTTGGTAAATTTAGGCTCCTTTGGAATTCAGAAGTGACACAAATGACATTTATCTAGTGCTTAGACAAATGAAGTCAAAAGACTAAAATATTTAAAAATTAAAAATTAAAATAGGAAGAAAAACAGCTAGAAATTAGGCAATTAAATGTTTCAGAGTATGAATATGTCTAGAAAAATACACTTTAAGTTTGTTCTTACCTTGGTTTCACTGCTGAGAGTTTTATAGATGCCAGTTGTTCGCCTGATGCTGGATATTAAAGAAGGTCCAGCAATACATCTTTATTCACTTGCACATAGGAGACTATTTCTGCATGTCATTGGTAGAGAATAATTAAAATACTGAAAATGATTCTCAGGAGATTTGCCTGGTGCTGACATCAGAACACAGCCTGAAAGACTCAGTCTCCTGAACTCTGCCCCATGCTAAATTAGAGTAATTAAGTATATCCTTTGAGACCAAGAGAATAAAGCAAGAGAATAAACTGTAAAAATCTTTAAAAAAGGAAATTCATTTCAGTTTATGTGATTTACCTATTTGAATTTAAAACACCAAGTTAGAAAGAAAAATTCCAACTTGATTGGTCAGAAAAGTTTCACAGTGAAAGTTGAGACTGAATTAGGATTGGTTGCGTCAGAGGGGAGAAGGTCTAGAATGAGCACAGATTGGATCTTTTTCATGTCCTTATTTTTACTTACATTTTTATTTTTTTGAGAATTTCACAGGCATATGACATTTGTATTATTTCCACCATTTCCTTACCCCTCTCCAACTGCCGTGCCATCTCATCACTCTCAAATTTAATTTAATCGCCTCTTCTTTAATTATGTATATATGGCCTATGGAGTCCATTTAGTGGTGCTCATATGTGCATGTGATTAAGACAACCTATCAGGGGACTTTTCCTTGGAGAACACTGATTCTCCATCTCTCAGCAGCCATTATTGCCTGAAGCTCTTTGTCTAGGGTGGCACCTTGTGAAATTTCCCCCATCCATGTTGGCATATCAATTGATGTTGCCATTTTGCGTGTTTTGTTTAGACAATCATATTGTAGTGATTTCATGGGTTCAGCTTCCTTGTCTAGAGAACACTATCTAGCAGTAGGTATCCTGGTCCTCTGACTCTTACAATCACCCTACCCTCTCTTCCAAAATATTCCCTGAGCCATGGGTGTAGGAGTTGCATTTTAGGTATATCAAGTGGGGTTAGTGTTGTGTAGCAATGTCATCCAAGGCAAAACTTTACATCTTGGAAGGAAGCTCCTTAAGATGCAGGATATTAAGAGGGAGCCAAACAACAGGATGGTCTATGCAAGATGTGAAACATCTCATCCTTCAGGGTCGCTCATTAAGATAAGGAAGTCAACAGCTCAATAGCTTTAGGAGATCCCTGAAATTGATCAGGTTCACTAGGTCCCTCCATCCCCCAATATATATAAGCCCTAAGGATTTCTGAGACACCACCTTGAATCAGATAAGTTACCTGGAAGAGGCAAATCTGCTGAGCTGCCTTAGAGAAACAGACCAGACCAGCTGCCCAAGAGGCTCAGACAACGGAGTCACCTGGAAGAGACACTCTAACCAGTTGACCTGCCTGCTGGTTGTGCAGCATGCTCCAAGTTTCCTGCTTTTATGAGCTGCCACTGTACTGGGCTGCTGGTGATGCAGCTGTCTTTGAGTCATTAATGTTCTTGTATACAACCCTTCACCCATACTCCTATAGGTAACCCCAATAAAACTCATTGGTTCATCAAGTTAGACTTTGGTGGTATCCTTGCTTTGGTCTGTCATTGGTTTCCTAAATGGTATGAGTAGACATTTGTTCACGTCTCCCTAGGATAAGTGTCACACAAAACTGGGCACCCCATGATCACTTATTCTCAGCATTTTGACCAGTGGTGGGTCTCTGTAGTAGCCTCCATCTGTAGCAAAAGTCTTTTCTGATGAGAGGCGAGAGCTTCACTTATCTGCAAATTTCATGACTTTGCAATGGCAACATGCAATTTCTAGAATCTTCCTTTGGAGTTGCATTTCAATATCCTTAATACTTTTACCTTTGTTATGAAAATACCGTCTAAGTTTTTGTTGCAAACCATGAAGCAGCATCTTGAAAACTTCCCTTAAAATTCTCTCTTCAGCATCCACCAATCTCAAGTCTCAACTTTTTGGCTAATTATTATGACAGTGAGCTTATCATCACTATTATAAATGGCTAGGATAATCACTTTCTTATAAAAC